CAGCGAAGATGGATTCACATCCCCAGTTGTGGGAAAGATAAGTGGAGGACTAGCACCTGGAGAGGGGATGAGAGCTGGGTCCAGTTTTATGGTTAGAAGGGAGGGATTTTCAAATGAGCCCAGGGGAAAGGGTCTGCCCTAACAGACCCTTGGCACACATAGGAGGAGCAGTTTACTTTTCATCATGGAGTAGGATGTGCAGGGCAGAGCCGTTCAGGTCTGTGTCGTGTCCTTTGTACAGTCTGTGCTTTGTGTCTTACTATTCACAGTCACCACATATTTGCTTTCTGCCCTCAAAGTTCTTATCTGAGATGCCAAGGCATCATTCCTAGGGTCTTGAACCTCTGCACTGCCCAGCCCAGTGCCCATACCATCCGTTCTTTGACTCAGTAGCTTGGACGTGCATCGGAATCGCATCTGAGAAGTGTCAGGTCAGGTGTCTTTTACAGCCTCCTTACAGGTTGTATCGGTGGCTGTGCTGTGCAGTCATCCCTTGTCATCCCACCTGGGACTTGTGAGAATCTAAGAAGATTCTGAACGTAGCATTGTCTCCCATCCATCTTAGCAATTTTGTAGGCAGTTCTTGTCCCAGGCCATTCTGTTAGAGTGTTTTTTCAGGCTCCTCAGAGTCTCCTCCATTCGGTCTCGCTGTATCCTCCATCTTCTCGTGCGGCAGCACATCCATTTTGGCGTCGTTCCTTTCTCAGAGTTCTCTCTCCTCATTGCACCACAGCACTTGTCTGGAAATGTGTCCTTGGAGTTTGTGTTGGGCCTGGAACTGCTCTGCCCTGCAGTGTAGACTTGGGGGTAGGTGGAGGAGGAAGGAGACTTCCCAGTTACCCTGTGGATAGGCTTAGGCACTGAGGGCAGGGCCTTAAAGTGAGGGCAGTGTTTGTTTGTGCAGGTTGTCTTTGGACCCCAGAGGGCTTGTCTAAGGAGAAATTAGAATTGCACAGCAGTTAAGGTCCCTCCATCTATATGGCTGACTTTGGTAACTCATTTCTATGCAGCGTCAGAGGGACTGGATGTAAAGCAGAGATAAACAGAAGAGGCTGGAGGAGCAGAGTCAGAAGGTGGGTTGTCGTGTGAGGTCAGAGCCAAGACATGACTTTTGGGCCTAGGTTTACTTGATCATTTGGATGGTTTGGTGGTTTAGTTTTGTTTTTTTTTTTCTTTCTTTTAAGATGCAGAGCCCTCGGCCCAGCAGACGATAGGCACTAGAGGGAAGGTGAGCCCGGTGAGGAAGGTGAGCAGGGACTGCAGGACAAAACTAGCTTGTGGTGAATCTGTGTACATACTTGTTTTTTTGTTTTCCAGGCAGTGCACCGACTTCTGACGTGCAGTCCAACGTGATGGGGACCCTGCCTGTAAGAGGTCACGGTCAAGGGGTGTCAGACAGAAACTGCCATGGGGGCAGCAAACTCTTGGGCAGTATCTCAGTACTCACATTTGTCTCTGGGGTTTTTTTTGCAGGAGATGTACACAGCCTGACAGGGCTGAAGCCAACTCACAATGAGGAGATGGACACGGTTTGGTCCCCTGGAACT